AAAGAACAAGTTTTATTTCTTTGCTTACCCAGTGATTCTTGAATGTGTAGTCTTGTGTAGCTGTGCTAAGTATTCTTTTTCCTCTTTTGTTTATCTCTGAGATGAGAAGAGGAAGCTTAAGCCCAGTTCCTGAGATGTGAAGATGAAGTTTAAGTCCGGTTCCAGAGTAAGTAAGTCCTGAGAATGTTTTACTGTGCCTCGGGGAATGCACAGCCCTTTTCCAAGGGGAAGAGAGTGCTTTTTGGCTCACCGTACAAAGGAAAAAGTTTTTAGTCAGTGAAATGGCAAAAGAGAGGCTGTCATAGTTTTGTATCCTTTAACTAGCAGCTGTTTTCTGTTGTAGATCTGAGACGCAGTAGATGGGAAGCAACACTGAGGCTCCTGAAATACCCACAGTCCAATGTGTATATACAGAGTACCTGCTGGGTCTCCCAAACGTTGACGGTCCTGTGTCTTCAGGAGATGCACTCTGGGACAAGAAAACACTGACTGTTAGTTTTAAAAATGTTAATAAATAATTATTTGTGTTACTTTTTTTTCTTTATTGCTTGCGAAGGTAGGCAGATTGGGTAGTACAAATACCAGCCAAGCAGTGCTTCAGGTAGTTTCAGCTCTGTGTGCAGATAGTGGTCAAATTTAAGCTGTTGAATGTCAGCTCCTTGACAACTGTTGCTCAGCGTTGCCAAAATCAACACCGAAAGACAGGTGGAAGTTTGGGACCACACTGCTCTAGGCATACATAGTATAGTGCACAGTCACAGTGCTTGTGTTTCCTGTCAGTCCATGCGTTCACTGGGAGCAGCGTGCAGGCGGGAAATGTTTCACAGTATGACTAAGGAGTTGTGTCAAGGTTAGTACTGTCAAAATAATGCACTGTGAGCGAGCCTTACTAGCTAGGTAACACAAGCTAGCATTGATTGTTCTACTAAAGGTCCTCTGAAGAATGCAGGTTAATAGTGGTGGTCAGGGTGCCGACTAATGACGCAGTGGCATCTGCTCTCTGTTCATAAAAGCATCTGTCTCTCTGAACTGTGTAGATTTGACAAGAGGTAGATACTCTGTATCCCATTAGTGAAAATAAAAAACTGCATTTTTTTTACATTGGAGACATATTACAACTTGTGTTTGGTAATTTGCATGAGGGCAGGATCACTAGGACTTCATCACTGACACATAGCCAACAAAGAATGCTTAGCTGACTTTCAAGGTGAAATCATGGGCCAAAAAAAAATCTCTATTTTTTCCTCAGCCTTTGGTTTTGTGAATAATCAAAATTCCTGTCTACTGCTTCTGAAAATTCTGCTAGTAGCATGATGGAATTGGTGTGATACGGTAGTGTCACTTTCTGGGGTTGTGAATAGCAATATGGAACTTGACTGGCTCTCTGAACCAATGGAAGTTATTTTCACTGTTTCTAGGCGTAGAGAGTAGATGAATGGGTAAGTGCACTTCTTGCATTTTCCTCCCCCTAACTGGAGGATCTTAAGCTTCAGAAATGCTTTAATGTTTCACAATTCTTTGGCTTTTCTTCATTTAAGAAAGCCCTCCTACTGCCTATAAAAGCTGCCTATAAGTGGCTTTTTTCAGATGATTTATGTATGTGTGAACATAAATAGACGCCCACACCTTTTACATGGGAAGTGAAAACTATAGGAAAAAAAATACACAGTTATCTTGGGTGACTTTGTACACACCACTTCTACATGGAAGGGATATGAGCCTGAGAGCAATGGAAAATTGCTTTCCCTTGTTCTGTTGTGCTTCTGTTTTTTCCATTGTACAACAATGGGTATACCCTACAGGATTCAGGATCCTGACGTAAGGAGAGAACAGTCTTTATCCACAGCAAGTACCTTCTCAATTGGTCTTACAAGTGAATACTATGTTTTTAGCTTGGGGGGAAGAAAAAAAGGGAGGGGGAGTGTGAAGTGATCCCAAGCTGAAATTAACTTCCTTACATGAGAGGAAACAGCAAAAGTTCCTTGTTAGCATATTTAGAAACTTCATGATCAATGCCACATTTGAAAGCTGCCTTACTAGCAGTCATTTTGTGACTTTTTTTTCCTACTTTTTCCTACTCTGAGCAGTAATACAAAGACTAATGTAAGGTGACTAGTTTTATAACACTTCAGCTGGACCCTTACAATCAAACCCGAGTGCTAATTATAGTTGTAGGCTGCTATCTATTTTGACTGAAATCTACCAGGGGGCTGCTAAGTGTAGAGGTTATTTTAAATGTTAGACATTCAAGTAGGATTACGTTATTTTAGCAGTTTCGTAAAAAAACATACTCAAAATCTAGACTGTTTTGACTGTTAAAATGCAGATTGTAGAATTTAATTTTCTAAATTTTTAAACGTGTATTTATTTATTTATTTCAAGAATACATGTTTTCTTATGCACTGTATTCTGAAGAAAATTGCTCCGATACCAGTTGGTTTATTGGATTTTACTGTACCTTTAGTCCGAATTCTCACAGCCTTGTGCTACCATCAAATGAATCTCACTTTGCCTTTCTGTTGGGAGTCAGGTCTTACTGGAAGTTTCTTTCTCATTTAGATACTTGTTGAGGTTACTTTCAGCTTTTTGGAGTGATAGAAATAATTCAAGGTTTTAGGCCTAGTATTAGTGGGGAGATTTTTTCAGCCTTAAATATTTCTTTATGCATTTATTTTAGTGTTCACTATCTTCAGGACTCAACAGTTCAATCCATGCATAGTGCCATGTCCAGAAGTAATACATTTGTATGTCATTTTGACTTCTAACTTGCTTGTAAGAATTACACTCGCGATCTCTTCTGAAGTATTTAAATTTTGTTTTTAGTGACTTTGGGTTACTGCTTTTCTGGGTACAGTAACATGACTTATGTTTTTGGGGAGGTGGTGTATTTGCATTTTAAGTGTTCAGATGCATATTTTTCAAAATGGTGTGCTTTGCAAGGTTAGCCTGTGTAATGGATCTTGTCACTTAACAAGCTTAGTGTTTGTGTTGCTCTTGGTAAGAGGGGGATGGTTTTTGATTTGTTTTATGTTAGCTTCTAAAAATACTGACAGGGTGAGCATTGTGTTTATCCTGAAAGAAATACCCCTTTGGACATTGATTCCACATTTACAATAACTTATGATCGGTTAGTTGTTTTTAATCCACAGTACAATCAACACAAAAATAACATTATCCAAGATTAGTAAGGATGGCACATGGAGCTAGGCCAAATGCCTTATGGGCATACCTGTCACAATTGCTTTTATTGCTTGTATTTGTGGTTTCTTCTGGTTGGACACTTTGACTGATACTTGTTGATTTTCCTTCATGCTGTCACTATTCACATTTTAATTTTTTGTTTTGCCTTTGCTTGCTAGGAAAGATAAGGGCATGTTAGAAAGGTCTAATGCTCAGAGAAACTAAAGGAAAATGTATCCTGGATTATAACTGGAGTCACAAGGAGTTCCCCCCCCCTACACTCAGCTGTCTTTGACATAGTTTTGTCAAACTCAAGACCTGTATTATTTAACCTTTCAAGAAGAGAAAGGGGTATTATATCACCTTTAAAGGAAAGAGTCATTCCATTGCTTTGAATTTTTATGTATCCTTCAGATGGGATACAAAAGAGTAATAGGGATTAGAAAAATCTGAATGTAAGGAACTTGTGCTAGAATCACTCTGTTCAATACTAGGAACCCTTTTTATTGCCACACTTTGTAAGAAAATAAAGTGGTGAAATAAAGCAACTGGAAAAAAAAGTTGTGATATCAGTGACTTAGATTTTTTACACGTAAAAAAGGTATTTTAAATTTTGTGTGTGCAGGTGCATGTTTTAGTCCATTTGCTTTGTGTGTGTCAGAGTAAGCTTTAAGAAACTGATCCCCTAAAACTTGAAATAGGTTTAATTTAGGTATTTGTGCTTCTTAAAGGCATTTGATATAGAATATTCAACTTGATGAGCACAGAATTTGATTAATTTTTCCATGAACGGCACATTATCTCCGACTCTGAGAAGTAAAACCCACACAACTTTACTATTGCAGTGTGCCAGATTTACTTTGCATTGCTGTGCATGAAAAAAGCAGAGACAATACTCTTTTCTGGTTCCATATCTGAGGCACAAATGGAGGTATATTTAACTTGTTTAACTATAGATGTTTAGTCATAAAAGTTTTCTGTAGTTGAAATGGAAATAACATCATCATTAATTCCCTTGTCATGTTACCTCATCCTTCGTGATTTAAGTTTTCAGCTGTCTGATATGTTCTGTGCCTACTCGCTAATTAACTTTGAGTAATTTATGTTAGTTGGTATAAAGTTGGTGAGATACTTCAATTTTCCCAAGCAGTGAAGAGGTTTTATTTATCAGGTTCTGCAGATCTGCTGCTATAAACTTCCTAAGCTCTCTTTTTCTGCTCATTGGAGTTGCTCTGGTATTTTAGTGATGATGCTTTGGAAGTAACTTGGGTAAATGACACAGTATTTTGCATTGCGATTAAATAGCTTTAAATGTTTGTATGTAAAGCTGTCTAGTGTAAAGACTGGGTGGATTGTTTATCACGTGAAATAGCATCCAAACCTTTCCTATTTTGTTATGTATATGAAACCAGTAAGTGTTAAGTCAAATACAGCAGCCCAGTCTGCTGTACTGGATGACTAAAGCATCCTGGATGGCGGTGTTGTGTGGCTGCATGTCATAAATTGTGCAAAGCTGAGGGGAAGTGACAAAATAAAATATATATTTAAAAAGGGGGGGTGACTTGGGAAAATTAAACTATAATTGTCTTGGTGACTCAGTATACTTCTCAGTAAAGAAAGAACTCGTCTTAACCTGATGAGAAAGGATGAATGCAGTCTGTAAGTTCAGTAATTCATCTATGAAAGAAAACCTCTGCAATCATCAGCTGAATTGGTTTGCAGAATATTCTGCCACGTATACGGGATGTTTTAGGTTGTTTGGTTGTTGGGTTTTTTTATGCAATGCTTTTTTTACATGTACATGATCTTTCTTTTTGCTTTCAGGTCTTGAGTATAGACTTACGTAAGTTCTAAAAATGGGAAGAATTTTTCTGGATCATATTGGTGGCACTCGCCTGTTCTCCTGTGCAAACTGCGACACGATTCTGACCAATCGTTCTGAGCTCATCTCCACTCGTTTTACAGGGGCCACGGGAAGAGCCTTTCTTTTTAATAAGGTTGGTAAGAAGCTGAGGGGGAACTACTGTTTGCTTTTGAAAAATGAGTTTGTGGTATATGAATTTGGCATAAACTAAAAAACTTCTTGGCTAAAGTGTTGTGTAATTGCTGTTTTAATTTTTTTATTTTTGTTTGCTCTCTTCAGCTGTCTTTGAAGTCAAATGGGGCATTTACTATTGATGGCAAGCTGTCTAAATTAGTTTATCTACAATACTAAAAGACTATAAAGAGGAGTGTATACAGAGGCATCATGCCAAAAGGCACGGAGTTTTAACTTTGGAGACTTCTGTAATATGAACCTCAAATTCATTGCGAGAGTATCTTTTGTCTATCAGAGTTTCAAAGGCATTTGCACTGCTACTCAGGGGAAAAAAAAAGTCGTCTAGATAATATTCTGTTTAATTTCTAAAATGCATTTAAACTAACCGTAGTTTGGCAACTTTAGATAACCACAGTCTCTTTTTACAGGCAATAATACTCTGGTTTAGTTTAGTGTTTTTTAATTGATCAAATTTGATTTAATTTAACAATCGAAATGTGAAAGTCATTACTCTGAGTGAATTGTAGCATTATTTGTTAACTCTTCCGTATAGGCTTGTCCATTAGACTCTGAAAAAACAGTGATCATCCTTTGCTTTCTCACAGAGTTCCTGGTCATGTAATCATTGTGTTTTGGTTTGGGTTTTTTTCTTGAAAGCCATCTGGCCATCAGCAGAGTTGATAGAGGCATCAGTAATGTCTTAACTGTGCTTGGCCTTGGGATTTCTGGTGTGCTGAATCCTATCAGTCATATTTATATGTGTTAGGCTGCATAGCTATAAAAGAGCTGTGCCTCTGATTTCTTTCTCATCCAATAAGCACTGGATCCTGGGGTTCCAATTTTTCTTGTGTTACATAGGTTTAATCACAAAAGTTTGATTTTTACATTTCTGCAGTCAGAAGCCTTACATCTGAAGCAAAGAGAGCAAGCACAGTCAGGTGGAAAGCTGAGAAAGCAGTGCAGCCCCATCTTTGAGAATCCTACCGCGTATTAGGAGTTTGGATATAGTTCTGACATTAACTTTTAATTCAACCAGAATTATACATCCTGGTGGTGTTGCTGCCAAAACAAGTTGAAAGTATATTTTAAAATGCTGAGATAACACACGAAAAAGTTGAATGTTTAATGCCTCCATTCTCAGCCACTGAGCCTTCCTTTTTCTTAGATGATTATTTCAAAAGCACTCCCAAGATTTTTAAAGAAGTACCTCTTTTAATATTTTGATTCTGGTTTCTGGGAGGAAGTGACCACATCTGTTGCAGAAATGGGTTTACGTATATTACAAGTGGATTCGTATCAATTAGTTTAGAAGCTATTCACCAGGAATTTCTCTCCCAAAGTTGAACACCGTACTCTGCTCTCTCGTATGTCTTGTGATAGCATTTCATGTCTCTCAGTTAAACAGTGAGGATTATCCATCCCTGTGAAGCACATCTTTAAAGTGTTACCTTATCAAGCAGGAGATTTTCAAGGGCTGTTGACTTATTACACTGCATTTTTTCAGTTCCAGTGCAGTGCCACAGGCTCTTTACTTTTAAAATGTTGATAGTCATACACATTGTTACCAAGATTTGCTCTAGGCAGACTAATCCTTTCTATTCCCTGTCCCCTGTATGTTTGTACCAGGTGGTAAATCTGCAATACAGTGAAGTTCAGGATCGGGTCATGCTCACTGGCCGCCACATGGTTCGAGATGTGAGCTGCAAAAACTGCAACAGCAAACTGGGTTGGATCTATGAATTTGCCACTGAAGACAGCCAGCGCTACAAGGAAGGCCGTGTTATCCTGGAAAGAGCGTTGGTCCGAGAGAGTGAAGGATTTGAGGAGCATGTTCCATCCGACAATTCCTGAAGAGACTTGAGTCTCTTTGCAGGTTCTCTTCAACTGAAACTCAAAAATAATAAAATCAACAAAAAAATCTGCTTACATACACTGTCACCTTAGCATCAGAGTCGGATTCATGGACTACAGAGTGGGAAAGATTGTGAGAGTATTTCAGATGGAACCTTCCTTTCTTTATTCCTTTTATATTTTACTTTCCCTCCAGCAGCTGTTTGTAGAAAGAATGTTGTGCAGATGCTGTAACTTTTTCTCTCTTGCATTTACATCTGTTAGATTTGAGATTGTATCTACAGATACAATGGGCTAAAAGGAAAATATTTGAGGGATTTGTCTTCTGTTAGAGAGAAATCAATGAGGTTTTTTTTAGTTTGCACAAACTGATGTCAGCATAAAGTTATTTTAAAACTACAGATGTTTTTTAAAAACTATATTCCAATTTTTGGCTTAAGTTTTTAGTTAGTCTTGGTTTTTGGTTTTTTTTTTTTTTTTGACCCGGTCTTTTCACCTGATTTGCTAGCTAAAGTAAAGAGATCCGAATTTGTGCCGAGTGCTAAAGGTTCAGTGTTGGTACAGCTTGGGCTGGCCCTTGTGCCATATTCTTGTTGAGGTTGATTGGTAGCACAGAGCCCATTATTTCTTGTCGTTCTTGACCCAAAGATGTCACCATTCCTTGTTTATTTGTGAAGTCCCATTCACCATGTAAACTGGTGTTGATTGGAAACTATTCTTGAAATAGGGCAAGACTGCTTGGCTTTTTTTAACTTTAACTGATGTAACTTATAAGCATAGTAATAATATAAAATAATAGTTGTCTGTTTAGTCTTGCGTTGCTTACAAATCAAGCTGTGTTTGTAATGATAGGGATCCACTGAGAAACTACTGTTTCAGTTGTAATTTTTTTTCATTTCTCTGCTAATCTCATTAAGTAGACAGGGAATTGCAAATCTTAATTCTTCTTCAAGTAGCTTTCCTTAAACCCAGAACTTCCTATGTTAAACACAGCTGCTGTGTAAAAGGAGAAGATTGCCAGCATGTTTGTTCATGCCTAGAGTTATGCAATCTGCAGCTCTTGAAAAGATTAACTTAAACAGCTTGTTTTCAAATGCTGCTTCTGGTGTTGAAACCTTTATCTTTCAACTTTGTTGAACCTTTTCATTGTGATGTTACATTTTTATCTTTCTGGGCAGCAGTACATGACAGCCTAGTAGTAACTAGTGACTTGGATTCCTGCTTTCTTCTTGTAGAGGTCAGCTCTGTTTAAAACAGTGATCTTGCTTGCCTTTAGCAACAATGCTCTTCATTAACTTAACTCAAGGGTGCCCAAACACTTTCATTGTGTCTTAAGCCATAAGTTAAGATCTCAAGGGCTGAAATTTATTTGAATGTTAGATATGTATGATTTCTTATCAAAGATACAAGTTTATTTTCTTTCTTATTGGATTAATTGTGGTCAACGTGAAATAAGTTACCCACAGATGTACAAGGGGAAGCGGGGAAACCCCTCACCCAACCAAACAGATCTGGGCTCTGACCTTTCAGAATAACTTTTCTTCACTAGCCACAGCTCCATATCTGGAACTAAAATGTGGGGGGTGACTATGCAGAGTATTTATCTTAATTTTTTTTTGTTGCCGAGTGGCAATTTGGACACCCCTGACTTGAATCTACTGCCTATTTCATGTAAAAGTAGCTTTATTATAGAATTGTCACATAGAAAGAAAAGAGAGTAGATCACATACCAGAGCTGTGCTTGAATCAAGCTGCTTAAACAATAGTGTACTTGTGCCTCAAATGAATCAGTTTTTGCACTGAGTACAGTAGTACCCCATTATCTTGTACTTCTGTCCTTCACAGACCCTAAAAGCGCCATTAGCATGGTTCTCTGCAGTACTTTTCTTGTACTTCTGACATTACAGTACAATAAAGTATGTTTTGTCCTGAATTGATATTTGCAGTTCTTTTTGAGTAATTTTCATGGAGTCTGTCAACTGAATGACATAACCTGTCTTCCATTCCTTACATTCTGTAAATCATTGCATTTCTACAGCACAGTGACAAGCTGTTGATGAGCATCTCCCTCTGAATAGGTGGCAAAAGAGTATACTGTTGATTTTGGAAGGTACTAAGTAAAGCTTCATACATACCACTTGGACACTTGAAAGCCTTCAATTTACTCCTGTTAAAGAGAAAATAAAACCAGGAAATTGCCCATTTAATGGAATTCTGGGTGCCAAACATCTTTCCCTGTCTTTGAAAAGACAGCAAGCTAAACAAAACTCCAGCTTCTGCAAGAAATGTGAAGTTTTAGCTTCTGAAATGGCTTGGGAATTGAGGAATTGGGAATTTGTATATCTGGAATTGTGACCTTTTTTTCTTCATGTGCAAGTATTAGGGAACAGCCTTCTCCTAACAGCTGATCATAAGCTGTAGCTGAAGAATTGAGGTGAGAAGATCATTATATTGCTGTAATAGAGCCTGAGGAGCTTATTTTAACTTATATCAAGACCTCTTCATTTTGGTAGAATGTTAGACTGAGATGTTAAAGATTACTTTCCCCAAAGTCTACGATTTGAAAAGCCGTTACTGAGGTGAATTCATTAAAAGCCTAATGAAAAAAAAAAAACTTAAGCAAGTCCACCATAGCTTTAAAACAGTAGACTTTGGATTGGTTTTGCCTACATGGTGTTCCCTTCTGTATCATGATGATGGCTCTGTGGGAGTGTTTAGCCTCATAAATTTTGACTGCTCCTCCTTGAGACACTTTTTCTGTGAATACAGATAACTTATCTGTAGGGAACAAGACGACTGGTTACAGTATGGCTAGCAACAGAGAAGACATTGCTGTTTGGTGTTAAATGTTATTTTGTAGTAGTGCAGTAGCCTTGAATGCCCACACCAGGCATTGCTCGCGCAGCAAAATGTGCCCTCACAGTGAACTGGTGGCTGGCATGTGATGGTGGGCTTACGCTGTCTTAGTCAAAGAAGGCAGCAAGGAAATTCCAGCACACAACAGGCTCCTCTGTGCATATCTGGAGGCCTCAGAATTTGTGCTCTTAGACTGCAGCCTGGGCTAGCAATGGTGCTGTGACTTTTACCTAATATTAACTTTATTAGAGTTCACATTACCTGTGCTTTGTTCTCAACCTGTAGTTGCAGTGTAGGTGTGCCCAAACTGAAATACTTCATCGAAGCTGCTGACTACCGTTTCAGCAAAACACAGCTTTGGAAAGATGAAAAGATTGGGTGGTGTGTTTGTGGATTGAAAAAGAATTTTAGTTAGGCTTTCTATGGATGTTCAAAAGAACTTTTGAAATTGCTTATGTATGTCATGGCTCTGTTAGAAAAGGTAGCTTTACACTGGGCTCTGGGGATGCTATGGTCAGCTGACACAGGCTTGTTCTTACAGGGCAAACTTGTCTCTTCAGATTTCTGCCAGAGCTGTAGGAAATAGTCAGCAGATCATCACTGGATTAACAGGTAAGGAACCGGTGAAGCTGCAGTTCAGGGCACAATAGCCAGGTATGAGGAAGAAGTGACTGGGAAAAGGCTAGCTGGTTATTCAACCTTATTTTAGAGGAGAAACCAAAGCTGTGATGTTGGAGTACCGTTGTGCAAAAGCCAGAAATAGCGTGTGGTGTTTCCTTCTTGGGCGTGCCTTCACTTCTTTAACAAAACAATAATAAATAATAAAAACTATCCAGTGAAGCTTAGTTTCCTGTGGATCTTGCAGGCTTTGCGGCCTCCCTGATACCTGACAGGGATGAAATGCTTCACTTGTTTGACTGGGGCACTGATTAGGGTCACTCTCAAATCTGGGCCCTGTTTTTGTAGGACTTTAAAGAACTAAGAAATTTTGAGACCCTTCTCTTCATAAGCTGGAGTTAAAAGTGCCCAATAACTTAAAAAGATCACTGTGAGGAGGAGTATGACCTGATTGATGATGTCACTGTGAAAGCCTTTTTCTTCTTTAGGAAATCTGAAAGATTATGGCTAATGAAAATAAGCTTCCATCTGTCTCGACTATTGTGTGGCAAAGACATTCAACAGCTTCTAACAAGCCTAATTTTGACAGTATGGAGCTGTTCTGGTCTCATTGTTACTTCCCTCACCACCTCTGTCTGGTGTAAGGATTTCTGTTAGGTGTAGGAAATTATAAGGAAAGAAATCTCACCTTTGCCTTCTAGTCTTCTCTTTGTTTACTAATAGGATTGTTCTTATTTAAATGGATTTATGCACTATTAGTAAAACTGCTGGCAGTAATGCCAGCCTTTCACTAGGTAAGGGCCCTTCTGGCAGGGTATTAGTGACATTATCATCTCTCTCATCCTCAAGTCTAGGCAGAGGTGGTTTGGGAATGATGCTTGACTGAACATCCTGCTCTAGGTAGAGGTGATGTGAAGGAAGACCTCCTTCACCCTGCTAACAGGACACATCTGTTGCTATGCTAAGTCTTGTTCCATCTGATGTAATTGTAGGTGTGATCTGCTTAAGTTTGCATTGCAGCTCCTTTTAAAATGATGTGACTGCAAGACAACAGTCTCTGCCCCTGAAACGTGGCATTTCTCTCTCAAGGACCTGAAATACCTACAGTTTGGTACAGGCTGCTGTATCTGCTGCTCAGGGGGAAGGGGCGGCTCTGTTCCTGTTTGACTTGTGACTGCAAAAATAAACCCTGGCACTTGTCTGAGAAATGGCCAGAATCTCTCTGCAATGGGAGGCAGATTATGGAAGAGAAACCCAGATAAAAGAGGAAGGACAACATTTGTGTGTTTGTGTGAGGGGGGGATTTGAGTCTTAACTAAACTAGACTAATTCACTCAGAAGCAGCAGAGATGGGAGAAATCCTAGAGGTAAGCTTGCACCTTTTCTTTATGACTTGTGTGGGTTCAGGGAAAGTGGAAATCACTTGGGCATTGTAGAGGATCGAAGGTCCCCTGATAAATAGAGGAAGAGGCTGAATGTAAGCACTTCTGTTTCTTTTGTGAAACCTCATTGAATGTCCTTGCTGTAGGACACTGATAATGGGAACCGCAGACCCAGAGCTAAGTTTCTGGCCTCTCTGTGTTTGGGTGAAGGCAGCTGGAAAGTATTTGTCCTTCGAAGCAGGCTCCATTTTTGTTCTCATTATCTGAAGCATTTAACACTGTATCAGAAAACTGCATTTCTTATAGAAGTAAAAATAGAAGAAGGAACAAGAAGCTACAGCATTAATTTGCATTTCCTAAGTGTCTGACGGGTAGGTGGGGGAGAGGAGAGTGTTCAGACCTTACATTTAGACTCTGCCCACAAGAGAGGTGTACGCTTGCCTGATGTCAGGATCCAGTGCTGTTTCCCTCTACGACTCAGGGATGTTTAGATATGGGATTTTGCTTTGTCCTTTTGAAAACATTTGATTTGACTGTTGTAAACATTTACAAGTGTTTGAAACAGTAAGTTTACTGAATTACAGCAGACTGCATGCCATAGTCATTTGCAGATTAATGGCTGATGTTGCAATAGATGCAGTCGGTGAAATAGGGAGACCCTTTCCTTCTAGGGGAACACAAAGCTTGTACAAGGGTGCTTAGCCGAAAAACTACCTGGTAACTTTCATCTGTCCTTATAGACCAACTGAGTATAACAATCCCCTGTCCATGGAAGAGTTTGAAGACTATTATTCTAAGCACAACTACATGGTGAGTACAGAAGGAAGAAGAGGATGTCTGCTACTTTTCAGGGGTAGATCTTTGCACATGTGCACTGTCAAGAAGGTGGGATGCTCTGAGGGAGGTGGTGAGAACTCAGGTGCATCCCACGGACAGGGTACAGAAACAGCCTCTGTGGCTATGCTGCTGCTGGTATTTGGCCAGCAGATCTTTTTCCCCATCCTGCCCATTTTTATTAGGTTTGGTCTGGAAATCCATGTGCTTTAGTCCACACAGTGCGGCTGCCTGTGCCCTCAACTTGTTTAAGTTGCTTAGGCTTCCTTAGGGCAATCTTTCTTCTTTAGTGATTAGCGGGGAAAGTAAAACCTACCTTAGCTCAGTCAGCGTCCACAGATGTACATGGTGAAATGCATGTAAAAAAAAGCCATAACTGCACGAATCTCTAGTGATTGCTGCACCTTCCCTACAGTTTAAGGATTTGGGGAAGTGCCTGCTTTTGGCAATATTGGAGGGTCACTTCTAGTATCGCTATACCAGCATGATGGATTAGTCATTCCAGCTCAGAAGGGATCGATGGATTGTCTATTCCATGCCTCCCAGCTGAGGAGGGATTATCTTAGTGATGTACTCAATAAGCCTCCGTTCTTGGGACGAAGTTTCTCAGAGTGATTTCTTATTGTAGCCGAAAGTGCATTAGAGAGATGCGATTTAGGTCACAAAAGTAGAACACTTAAAAAATGCCAGACTTCCGATGGATTGGGTAGCACATGGTTATTCTGTCCCTGCATACATGCAGCCTGGAGCCGAAAGTAGTATATGATGACAAGAGTAAGGATGGCTCTATCATCACCCTTTTATAGATATGCATTGAACTCGTATTTACAACCTCCGTTCCACCATTCCTAACTCTGGACTGTTTGACTCTCTAATAATTTTGTTTCTAAAGGTCATTTGGATATGAACTTTCTAACGTGCGTTTAAGTGGCAAAAGTAAAAGAAACTCAGATTAAGCATTTGCAATTGCTGGCTGCTTCATGACTGGGATTTGAACTGGGAACCCCATTTGGTGCAGTAACCATTACTACTTAAGCTGCAAGGCCGACTGCTACTTAACCAGCAGCTGGAGGAAGCTTTTTATCAAAGAAGGCTGAGCAGATGTCAGACCTAGGCTTTAGAGATTTTCATTTGATGTAAGGTCTCAGCACGGGATAGGGAAGTTATTTTCAGTTTGCCTGCTGGTTCTGGTTAGGTTGGGGGAGAGTTGGGATTTTGTTTTGGTTTTGTTTGATTTTGTTTG